GATCAATTGGTTGATCGGTTGATCCGTACTGGTTGTTCACTCTGCCAAACACGCCAAAGCTCGTCTACGACGGCGAGACGCTGAGTGAGATACGGAGCTGCTTTCAGGGCGCGTCGGAGAAACGAAGCTGTCGTTCTCTCCGAGCGCTTCATGAGATTAAAGAGCGAGAGACGGCGCCCTTTTCTCTGCAGGAGCTGAACCATCTTAACGGGAACATAAGTTATTCTAAAAGCAGCCGGAGATTTAAGGCGTGGATGGCGAGGGGGGCGGCGGCATCGATCGGACCCTGAAAGCACCGTCTCCACCTCCCCCCATCCACCCGCCATCCACCCGCCATCCACCCGCCCCGACGCCAACCGTCTGACTGCAGGATCTGATGCGCCTTATTGTGCGGAAAACACGGCACGTGAGCTCCGGAGAAAACGGTTAAATGGGTTAAATTCTTAAGGTCATTTAATCATCTCTAGTTCATGTTTTGATCAGAGTTGTGATTAAAGGTTTGGGCCGCCAAAGATTTTCAGATTTCAAAGTGGGCCGCGGCGTTCTGGAGTTTGGGAACCGCTGATCTAACTGAAATGTGATGCTCATCACTAAGAAACCTCTGCTTGTGTGAAGGAGCGCTTCATATGTTCACCGAAAGCAGGTCCTCTTCACCGGCTCCTGAGAGCCTTTGTTCATCTCCACGTTACCTGAAGGACTTAAAGGGAGGAGGCTGCAGTCTGCAACCTCACCACTAGATGTCACTAAACACTACACACTGTCCTCAACAGACACGTTCATATTGTAATGGAAATGTGTGAACAATAAATGAATAAAGCAACATTTGTGTGAGTTGACAGCTTGTTTGTGTTGTTTGTGTCCTGCAGTGAATGTGAGGAAGACGTATGAAGAGCTGCAGAGAGGACATATTTATCTACATGTTAACAGGAGGACGTCACACTGAATTATTACAGAGAATGAAGAGACGTTTATGCTGCTTACAGGTTCATCAAGATGATCTTCACATATTAACAACACTTTTATGATGTTTCCTTTTAGCAGAAGTAAGACGGTAACATTAAAGCAGCTTCTTGTTCTGCAGCTCATGCACACTAATGACGGAAAGAGGAAGGAAGCTCTGCTGGGGATGAACAGCAGCTTGTTACCAACTCCAGAAGAGACGAGCTGACCTCAGAGACATCAGCCTCCTCTTTAATGTAGACGTGTTTCTGGTGACGTACTGAATAAAGAGTTTCTGATCTGCTGATTGAACACAGAGGAGCAGCTATGAGTCCATCAGCCGGTGGATTAGTCGTCTTCCTTCTCTCTGTACAAGGTACTGTACTTCTACATTTATATTGTGAGGCCGTTACACACCTCACACACACACAGGGAGCTGTGTTTTTATGGCGTCCGATCAGTGTCAATAGTTGCAAATGCACACAGAAAGATTCACAAATGCATTCCAGGACACACGTGAATAAATTGCGATTTATTCTCATTTGTTTGTGAATGTATGTTGTAGCACATTGGTTGTAAATTGGCTTATTTGAAGAAATCACACTTTCTTGTTTCTTGTTCTTCTGAGTTTGTGTCCTTATGGTTGAAATGTTCCTAATGGTAAGTGGCTTTGGATGAAAGCGTCAGATAAATGACGCGTGATGTGAATTGCGGAGGCCTGGACACACGCCCTTCACGCTGTTTCCGTTATTACGTTTTGTTGATCACCTCGAAAATGTTAATAATGTTCATTCCTACATGTCTACGAATCTACGTGACAAATCTCATGAATATATTCAGAAATGTACAAGTCTAACTACTGCAGCAAAGTTCATTTGATGAGAGAAAGAAGAAGACTCGGGCGACGATGGAAGCTCTTTTATTGCGTAATTTGGCGGTGTTGAAGCGGGACATCTTATTGTGAAAGGTTCAAATTGGGGTCCCGGTTATGTTGGCAGCATTGATGGTAGTTTTGGCAACTCTTTAACCAACATTTAATCTCCGTGAAAAACAATTTCTCTGTGCGCATTTGCATTTACTGATCTGACCCCATGTTTTCAGTTAATACACAGGTCTGATGTCATGAAACACAATTAGTGACTAAACATTAACAAGGGAGAAACGCTCTGAAGGATTTGTCCCTGTTGAACGTCCTCTAACCGCTCAGCAGCGTTTCTTTGCATTAAGAGGCCGTTTTTCACTCTGAGGACGTTTGTTCTTCTTCTTGAAGGATTTTTGGGACATTTCGTAACTTTGATCCGTGTCACAGATAATTGATTGACAGCCGGATGCTGAGCGCCGAGTCATCAGTGAGATGTGACCTATATGTCACAGTATCGTTGACCTCAGAGTTCTGCATTTCTCTACAGTTTCCATCTCCACTCTGCAGCAGACTGACCACAGACAGAAGAGCACAGAGCAAAGACGCTCTTCTTCTCATCAACCAAACCCTTCTAATACTTCAACTTGAGCTTTTTCAGGTCCACAGGTTCAATACGTCGCTGTTCCTTCCAGCTGCAGAGTCCATGTGGACATCGTGGACTCTTTCATTACTTTCTATAAACTCAATGATTTTCATATTTCTCATAATATCTTTTCTCTTCAGTAAACTACCAATGAGAGTGTGTCCTGTGATGTTGTTCTGAGTGTGACTGTGGTTCCTGATGTGCTGTGTTACAGTGATACAGAGTCAGGATGGATGGAGAGTGAATTACGATCAGACTGACGTCTGTGCTGCAAAAGGATCAGAAGTGGAAATAAGCTGTGACTACACATACCCACCTGGAATACGTCCCTCTGATATAAAGGACGGATTCTGGTTCACTAAAGTGAAAGATGGTGAACCTGTGGATCTGAGAACAGACTCTGGGTATTCAGGCCGTGTGACGGATGGTTGTTATAGTGATAGTTGTTATCTGACCATCAAAGACGTGAGAGAGAGCGACTCAGCTGAGTACAAACTCACATTGATGACAAACAAACCAGGAGAGAAATATACTGGTTCACCTGGAGTCACTTTGTCTGTCACAGGTAACATTTGAATTCACATATTAATCATCTACAAATGTTCAACATCTAGAAAACTAGAGTATAAATGTCTTCTGTGAATGTTGACACTTTAATAAATAATATTCACAGATTCAGGTCTCCAGGTGCAGGTGAGAAGATCAGATTCTACCTGGTTGGAGCTGACGTGTCACAGCAGCTGTGTTCTGCCTGATCGTGCTGAATACTACTGGTACAAGAATGAAGAGTACTTCAAGAGAGGATCTTCTCTTCCAGTCTCCTCTGGTTCTACAGACAGATATTCCTGTTATTTAATAGGATATTGGGATCAACGTTCTCCTGCAGTGTGTAAGTTCACTCCACTGTGTCGGCCTGTGGAGCTTCAACAACATCTCACATGGAGGCACCAGACCGCTGCATGTAAACTAGAGGCATCAAAAAGATGAAGCACAACGTTCCTCAGGAGGTGGAGCCGTGGTCCACTGACCAGAGGGTTGCTGGTTCAATCCCCGGCCCCTGCAGTCTATGTGTAGAAGAGTCACTCACACACTGACACAACAATATGATTCTAATCACAGCTGTAAACACACTGGAGTCTAAATGTTAAAGGAGACACAGATCTTTATTTATGTCATTCTCTTATTAATAGAAACACAAATATAAACCATCAGCAGACAGAATAATGTGATTTTCATAAAGACTCAAGTGAAATATTCCAGAACATAAGTAGAAGTGACGTGTCAGCTGGTGGAGGAAACAATCAATAACTCCTACAACAACTAGAAGTGAGAGGACAGACTCAGCTAAGGACACAAGCAGCATCTAAAGAGAAGAATGTGTGGAGATATGAACATTACAAAGGATTAAAGGCTGCTTATTGTCACTTTACACCAGCAGGAGTCTCACCTGTGACAGCTGCTGTGATGAATACTAGAGATAGTCTGAGAGAAAGACACACAAGTATTCATTCAAATGACCAACTATCTACGCTAACATCTTCTAACCTCTTAGTATGTTTATTCACGTCTCCTCCAGATGGTCCACAGCGTCCCTCTGTGTCAGTGAGTCCCTCTGCTGAGATGCTGGAGGGCGGTTCAGTGACTCTGACCTGTAGCACTGATGCTAACCCAGCAGCTAACTACACCTGGTACAAGCAGGATGGAACGTCAGACCCTCGTCTTCTCAGTGAAGAACCTCAGCTGGTCTTCAGCTCCATCCAGTCCTCTGACTCTGGAAATTATTCCTGTACAGCTGAGAACCAGCTGGGGAGGAAGACGTCTGACTTCATCTCTATCGACGTGAAATGTGAGTGAAACAACCTTTTTAAAAGCAACATAATCACTACTGAGGTAGTGTTTTGTTATCAACTTCTATTTATTGAACTCTAACTTGTAATAATATGTTGACACGTCTCCTCCAGATGGTCCACAGCGTCCCTCTGTGTCAGTGAGTCCCTCAGCTGAGATGCTGGAGGGCGATTCAGTGACTCTGACCTGTAGCACTGATGCTAACCCAGCAGCTAGCTACACCTGGTACAAGGAGGATGGAACGTCAGACCCTCGTCTTCTCAGTGAAGAACCTCAGCTGGTCTTCAGCTCCATCCAGTCCTCTGACTCTGGAAATTATTCCTGTACCGCTGAGAACCAGCTGGGGAGGAAGACGTCTGAATTCATCTCTATCGATGTGAAATGTGAGTGAAACAACCTTTTTAAAAGCAACATAATCACTACTGAGGTAGTGTTTTGTTATCAACGTCTATTTATTGAACTCTAACGTGTAACAATATGTTGACACGTCTCCTCCAGATGGTCCACAGCGTCCCTCTGTGTCAGTGAGTCCCTCTGCTGAGATGCTGGAGGGCGATTCAGTGACTCTGACCTGTAGCACTGATGCTAACCCAGCAGCTAACTACACCTGGTACAAGGAGCATGAAGACTCACCACGAGCATCAGGACAGATCTTCACCATCACTGACTTCACAGCTGAACACAGTGGGAATTATTACTGTGAAGCCCAGAACGAGATGGGACGTAGTAACTCCACCTTACTTCTGATTACTGAGTCTGGTGAGTTTCTCCATGACAGGAATCGTCTGATCAACAAACAGCATCTCCTGCACGTTTATCCATGAATCAAGTCCTTCTGATGAGGTAACGTGCTGTTTGTCTAATAACTGTGTGTCTCCAGGTGTTGGTAGAACAACAAGGATAATTCACATCACCAGGTGGACTCTGGTCTCTGTGATGCTGATTCTTCTGCTTCTCTTTTGTCTGTGGACGAGGTAAAACAACTAGAACTCATCCTCACTGAGCTTTTACTTTGAAAAGGTCCTTCAATAGTGAAGATAAAGGTTTATTTGTTGACTCTATTTGTGTATCTGTTTGTTTTATGACTGAATGCAGGAAGAAGAAAGCTGTGATCTCCACCACTGAACCACATGAGTCCAGAGAGGCTGTGGAGGTGAGACATTTGTCCTCAGAGACAGAACTCACCAAAGGGTCATCGTAGAGAGTCTTGCTGCAACAAACCACACTGCATGTTCTCCTGCAGGCTTAATGTTATTGTTGGAATGCTTCATATGAGCTTTAGTCCTTTCTTTAATATTTGTTGGGATGCTTTTAAGCCACAACAACTAAAGGTCTTGCAAACGTTTCTAGTTGTACTTGTTGTTTCACACCAGCAACAAACAAGGATCTCACACATCACACATTAATGAGAATAATTTATATTCATCCTTCCTGTCATATAGTCTCATGTATTATACATTGTTCATTCTGTACACATGACATCGTTGTAGTCTGTCCATCAGGAGACGGATCCTCCTCTGATCTTCTCACTGAGGTTTCTTCCCTTTTTTCCCTCTTGGAAGAGTTTTTTCATTGTTTGGGGAGTTTCTCTGTGCCGATGGAGGGTTTCAGGGCCGAGGATGTCGTATGTGTTCAGACTGTAAAGCCCTCTGAGGCTAATTTGTAATCTGCGATTTTGGGCTCTACAAAATAAAATGAATTGAATGCTAAGCTAGCTAACGTCATTAGCATCTTACCTCGGAGCAAACAAAGGAGTTTTTATTGGTCGTTGATGGATTCAGTCTTCCACATGTTTAATCCATAAGTGACATCAACCCTCTAAAGGCCTCTGGTCCCTAGTTACGGTTGCTAACGTAGGAATGTACAGTGTGCGTTGGGGGAGGGGCTTAGCCGAGGGTCGGTTGTATCTGAACTGCTTCTCTGAGGCCTTTGACTCTCATCGTCTCTCCATCAGATGGACCTTCATCCTGAGTATGAGGACCTCTCAGACATGGCAGCACAGAGAGAAGACCCAGAGGAGCAGGAGGACCAGGTGTGAAGGTCAGCCAGGTGTCAGTCTGCTGCAACTCAAAACAACTTCCTGCTTCCATTTCTGAGGAATAACTTCATGTGATCTTCTTCAGATGCTGTGAAACCAGAGGGAGACTCACCTGGACGGAGACAGGAACCAGTGGACACATTTCCCTTCAGTACCACAAGTTATTATCTGAGGTCTTTACAAAGTTAAAACTGTAGTTTTTATTTCATTCTCTTTGCTCTTGAATCACTGTTTTTATTTTAAATGTTCTTTTATTCTTAATTGCATTGGTAGAGAACTTTGACTTTCATTGTTGCTGAAATGTGTTTTACTGTTAAACTTGCCTTAAACCATCAGAATTAGTGGCTTGTAGCAGAATATTCATGATGCTTTAATTATAGCTGTGCTGCTACATTACTTGTGTGTGTGATTTAATTGAAATCCAATAAATTGGCTTTAAGAAATACTGATCACTTATCAAGTCTTTCTTCATGGGATTAAAGGACAAAGAGCAGAAATAAAATGTATTTTATGAGTAAATGGTCTCTGTGACGTGTTGGTCCTATGGGGGTCCCGCAATGACGCGGATGCAGCAGGATGTTTTCAATAAACAATCTTTTATTTAGCCGTGCGGCTCCGGCTTCCTCGCCTGGCTCGCTCTCACACTCGCCGGATCTCTCCTTCTTAAGTACGAAACACACGCACTGATTCATCCCACCTGAGGCCAATAATGCCTCCCCCGGGCACCGTTCCCCGAGCCACTCCCTTCTCCGTCCCCTCTGCAGCTGAGCCAAACCACGCCCGCCACCACATACCCCCACCGCCCGACTTAGGCCGGGGAGCCGTCCGGCCTAGCCTACTGCCCCCCACCCCCCCTTTCAGGAGCGGGAGAAGAAATCAGCCACAGCCATCTGCGTCCCCGGCCTATGGACCACCTTGAAATTAAAAGGCTGTAGAGCCACCCGAGTGATCCGGGCGTTGGCACCTTTATGCGGTGGAGCCATTGGAGCGTGGCGTGGTCCGAACAGAGGGTGAAAGAGCGTCCCAGGAGGTAGTAGCGCAGGGCGCCGACCGCCCACCGGATGGCCAGGCACTCCTTCTCCACCGTGCTGTACCTGGCCTCCCTCTCGGACAGCTTCCGGCTGATGTACACCACGGGGCGGTCCACCCCCCCCACCTCCTGGGACAAAACGGCCCCCTTGCCCCCTGTTCGATGCGTCAGTCTGCAGAATAAAGGGGACAGAGAAGTTAAGGGTATGAAGGAGTGGTTCCCCACAGAGAGCCTGCTTTACCTTCTCAAACGCCTGCTGGCACTGCTCCGACCACTGGACCGGATCTGACGCACCTTTCCGGGTCAGGTCGGTCAAGGGGCTGGTGAGGTCCGCGAAGCCGGGGATGAACCGCCTGTAATACCCCGCCAGCCCCAAGAACCGCCTCACCTCTTTTTTTGTCTTGGGTCGCAGGCAGGCACCGATAGCTGCCGTCTTGTCCACCTCCTGCCCGTCCCCCAAGTGGTACCCCAAATACCGTACCGCCACCCGTCCAACTGCACAGTTCCCCGGGTTGGCGGTGAGCCCCCGCCATTAGCTTATCAAACCCCGGCCAATCTGTACCCAAAATGACGGGGTGCGTCAGGCGGGAGCTGACCGCGACCTTCACTCTATGCTTTTTCCCCAGATATCTAATTTCCGCTGATACCACAGGATACTCGTGAACATCCCCATGCACACACCGTATTTTCACCCGCGCTGCCTCCACCAATGCCCCCGGCCGAACCAGGCTCTGGTGAATCATAGACTGCGTACAGCCTGAATCCACCATCGCGTGTACCCCCCTGGATTCTAACCGGAACGCGGTACGTCCCTCCCGGACCAGGGAAAGGTGCCGGAACGCCGGCAACTCGGATCACCTGTCCCACCTCCATCAGCGGGCACTCTCTCCGGAGGTGACCGAGCCGCCCGCACCTCCAACACTCCTGCCCCGGCGCTTGAGAATCTCTCTGTGGGGTGGGAAGGGTGGGAAGGGTGCCTGGGTTCCCCCGGGCCGGTGAAAAGGGCGTCCCCCGCCGTCATTCGATGGAGCGTGAAACCGGCGAACGCAGACGTGTCAAGTAACAAAGTACAAATACTTTGTTACCTTACTTAAGTAGACATTTTGGGTATCTATACTTTACTGGAATATTTATTTTTCAGACGACTTTTTACTTCTACTCCTTACATTTTAAAAATAGCCTCGTCGTCGACGCACACACACAAAAAGAAGCTGTCCAGATAAATGGTGCCATCCGGATGGAGTGAATTTGATTGTGGTTGGATGAGAAGTATAAACATTTACTATCCAGACACTCTATTGGTTTTCTCCACAACTCGCCTCCTCCTCCTCATGCAAATTCCATGTAACTTAAATGAGAATCTTCATGTAAATGTTTTTTTCTTACTTTATTGAGAATGTGGCACAACGCAGCGTCTTAAATGAAGTGATGTGTGTCTGGATGCGGCTCTAGAAATGAACACAACGGGATTCTGTATTTGCTGATGAAATCTGAAACGGGTCATTTGGCCGATGTTTTGAGAGCCGACCGCTGCCGGTTCAGTGTCGCCCCCCCGTCCTCCACGAATCACCAATCAGGTATCAGTGGAATCCGAAGTAGTAAACCTGGGGGAGACACTGCAGTCTACAGGCCACTTTTCAAACTCGCCGCTGGAGTGTGGACGACTTTGGCGTACCGTCAGCGCCACCACCTCGCACCGCTCGCCGGTCGGATCGTCAGCGCCACGCCTCCCTATGATTGTAATAGTCTGGCCCGCGTTCGGTCGAAGTGGGCGGTATCTGGCCCGAACCTGAAATGAGTTTGACACCCGTGACCTGATCAATGGGAACAACCTGTGTGTCCGTCCTCCGACTCGTGTCATTAAGCCGTCACTGGAAAACGGGTTCTGGTTTCATCGGTTTAGGTTCTGCAGCACGCGGGTCGATACATTCGTCCCTCTGTTGTTTCAGCCTCTCTGAATATCGCCATGTTCCATCATCCGAATGGCAGGTGACGTGATCTGAAAGGCACCGTCCGATATATTGTACCGGACTGACATGTTCTGTGTTCAGGTAACACATTAGGAGTTTAATGGAATTTGTTCCGCCTTAAATTACTTTTAGTTTTATAATTTAAGTAGTTTTGAAACCGGTACTTTTATACTTTTACTTAAATAAAAAGCTTGAGTTGATACTTTTAAACCCTAGTATCTATACTTCTACTTGAGTAACGTATGTGAATACTTTTGACCAGGGCCGTTTGAAGGAATTTGGGGGCCCCAAGCAAAATGGACATGGAGGCCCCCCCAAGCCCCCGCTGCACGCACGCAAAACCTACAGGAACCACAGCACAGCCATAAAGTTTAAGTTCACGCACACTTTATATAAATAAAAAAGGGTTTACAGTGCATAAACATAATGTGCATGAAATTTAACAATTTAACATTTGCACACTACCATAAAATCAAATATACATTAAAAAAGTGCACAATAAC